CACTGTAGGGTGGTGTGGAGGCCAGACATGCATAGTGCTTGTTGATAAAAGACAAGCTCAAAGCAAGTTTATTAGTACTATTTATTTTAGAGAATTCCCCAAGTCATCAGTTGCCAGGGACAGTATGTTCTTAGGAAGGGCGACTCTTGTGTCTGTGCATATACTACTGACCACTTCTATCTAGGAGATGCTAGCTGAGGTTAACTTTTCATTCAGCTTCCTGTGGCAGATCTTTTTATATAAAGACGACCTTCTCATCACTAGGAAGTGTTCTCATAAGCCTGATGAACATACTAGTACCATCAGAGTTACAAAATTTAATTCTTTTGAGGACTAATGTTCATCTAGATTACAGATTTTTACACAATATAGGTAATCATTAGGTGTACTTCACTTTATATGCAGGTCACTTTTAGGACTCTAAATGTGGATATGAAGCTGTATTTTAAGCTGCATAGTTGCTCATGAAAGTATTGATTACTCAACTGAAAATTTGATTTCAAAATAGTTGAATCATTGGTTTATTACTCTATATTTCCTGGTTATGTGAAGGTTCAGAGCACTGAGTGATCAGACTTTAAGATGTGCATGTACATTTGTTTATACAGCTTTAACAGACTCTCATTTCTCTACTTGGTCTCAAAACTGCTTTTATTTTTGTTGAAGCCTCTTCAGCATCGGTTGGATCAAGGTTTACTTAGCTGCCTGTATTTTTTCAAATTTTGGCATTATTAGTTATGCATACTATAAGTTAACATGTCATTCTTTAAATTCTTGGAATCTCAGTTTTGCTACATTTTGATATATTCAAGTTCTCTGTTTTCTGTGTGAGAAGGCTTTTGGAAGGGGTTAGACTGCTGATTGGATCTGGGCTAATGCTGAATAAAAATGGAATCTTAACTGTTTGTGGCATGACTAGGTGAGCAAGTTGTGTTATGGGCTAGTCTCCAGACAAGTTGAAACTAGTTTTAATGTTTTGAAACAACAGTGAAAGCAAAGTTTGCAAATATTTTTTCAGCAGTTGACTCTGTGATTGTCTTAAATCAATAGAAATGTTCAAGATAGATTCTCGCCCTGCCTTCAGGGAAGACTTTTTTGGAAGAATTTTTGAATTTGCCTTCGTTTTCCAAATGGAAGATGAAAATGAGGATGCTAAAATTGTTCATGCTTCTATAGGGATTGAATAATAGTGTTCAGGTGAAGAATTTAGACAAGGCTTAAGGAGACAGGAGATTTTAAGCTAGTCAAACCATTTTGTCTTGAGGGAGGAAGGGAGGGCAGAGGAGGGTGCTGTCTTATCTCAGGAGCTTGTTTCGGTATTCCATGGTCATTTTACCCTCATTCTGAGACAGATGTTTAAAGCCTTGTGTAAAGACAAGGTTGTGGACCAGAAGCATGTAATGAGCAAACAAATTTCTGCAATTCTAGAACGGTCTTGAGTGCTTCTTCGATACTCAAAACTGTTTACAGGTCCTATAGCCTGTCTGGAATTGTTATGAAAAAGCATTTAATTTGCATGTAGTTAGTCAAGTTATGTTTTCGGCTGAAGAAAATAAAGCTTAAGGAAAAATGTCAGCTTTCAACATCTTTGTCAGTGACATGGACAATGGCATTGAATGCACCCTCAGCAAGTTTGCTGACGACACCGGATGGTGTGGTGCAGTGGACTTGCTTGAGGGAACGGATACCATCCAAAGGGACCTTGAGAGGCTTGAGAAATGGGCCAGTGCAAACTGCATGAGGTTCAACAAGTCAAAATGCAAGGTCCTGCACCTGGCTCAGGCTAATCCCAGGCACAAATACAGAGCACATGGTAGGTTGAGAATAGCCCTGAAGAGAAGGACTTGGAGGTATTGATAGATGGGAAGCTGAGCATGATCTGTCAGTGTGCTCATGCAGCCCAGAAGGCCAACCGCATCCTACAGGAAGGCTGGGGAGGGGCTTCTTACAAGAGTGTCCAGCAATAGGACGAGGGGAAATGGGTTTAAGCTCAAGAAGAGTAGAGTTAGATGGGATCTTAGGAAAAAAAATCTTTAGTACAAAGGTGGCACAACGGATACCCCCTCCCTTGAGGTCTTGAAGGCCAGGTTGGATGAGGCCTTGAGTAACCTGATCTAGTTGAGAGGGATCCCCTGCCCATGGCAAGGAGGTTGGATTAGATGATCTCTAAGGTCCCTTCCAGCCCAGCGCATTCTATGATTCTGTGATTTTTGAATGATGCATGCTTGCTTTTACTAACTTACTATTCCCTACTTAGAGTGTGCTGACTTTATTTTATATTTTCCAAAATATATGTTGATAAGAGCTTGCTTTCTTTCCCCTGCTGTGGTTTCCAAACCAAAGTGATTTATATGGTTTCTGTGAGGATTTAAATTTCTTTGTTAGAGAACAAATCAAGAGTTGTTTCTCTTGTCATGGCACACTTGTTTCCCAAAGCAGTCATTGATTTCTGTACAAAAATATGATCAAGAAGTTATTCTTGAATGTGTCTGATCATTTTTGGTGGCAAGTGTCCTTCTCCTTCCTGCTCTTTGATTGGAGAGTGGAATCTGTTACTCCAGACATGCAGTGGTGTTCAAGAGCTGTTGAATTTCCCTGTTCTTCAGTTGGGAAACTAACCTTTGTCAATGAACACATCTTCAGCCAGATTTCCGTGTTGGATCCCTCCCATGTAGACTTTATTGCTCTGAAAGTAATGCTTTTTCCTGCCTGATCCCCCACCTCACTGCAACCACATCTTACAAATCTGAGGTTCTTCTTACCTCTCGTCTCATTTCGGATACTAGAAACCTTTTCTGTGGAGTCATGGTATGGAAGTCATTCAAACTGTCCAAAAGCAACTGGATCTTCGCTCTCATTCGTGTACTTGTGGATTTAGTACCTGGGTGCAATCTTAGTGCTTGCTATGAACTTGTCCTTATGTGTTTCAAATGCGTTTCATTAGTTTTTTGGGTTTTGTTCCTATCACCACCTTCCCCCCAGCCCCTTGCTGCTTCTGTAGGGTTTTGGGTGAGGATAGATATCTCTGCCCTGCTGGAGAGGACACTGGAATTGTTTCCCCATTTGCCTTATGTTGTGTCATCTTTATAGAAGAGGGAGACTGTTACTATGGAGGGAATTTCTCTCCAGAGACTCTGAAGGGGACCCACGTGCATCTGCCTGTTGGCTACCCCAGCAGCACAAAGGCAACGTACTGGTGTAACCCCAGAGCTGATTGTGAACCTCCCCATCTTCGCTTTATTTCAGCTCAGATGTCTTAAGGTCTTCAAAGGAATTGTCTTGAGCTGCTCAGCCATGCATGACTTCCTCAAAAGGCAGGAAAAATGCCTTCGATGCAGAGCAAAACTGCTGTCTGGGTGTCTTGCTTTCAGCTGGGGTAGACTTAATTTTCTTCCTAGTAGCTGGTATAGTGTTGTGTTTTGGATTTAGTGTGAGAATAATGTTGATAACACACTGATCTTTTTAGTTGTCACTAAGAAGTGTTTATCGTATGTCGAGGACTTTACAGCTTCTCATACTGTGCCAGCGAGAAGGCTGGAAAGGCATGAGAAGTTGGGAAGGGACACAGCCAGGAGAGCTGACTCGAACTGGACAAAAGAATATTCCATAACATATGACGTCATGCCCAGTATATAAACAGGAGGAAGCTGACCAGGGACGGCTGCTCGGGAACTGGCTGGGCATCAGTCAGTGAGTTGTAAGCAGTTGCTCTGTACATAAATAGTTGTGTATATTCTATTTTTTTATTACTGTGATAACTTTATTTTTTATTATCATTATTATTTTCTTAATTTTCTGTCCTACTAAACTGACTTTATATCAACCCATGAGTTTTAATGTATTTTTTTTCCCCTGTTTCTGTCTGCTATCCCACTCAGTACAGGGACTGAGCAAGCAGCTGTGTGGTGCTTAGTTGCTGCCTGAGGTTAAACCGTGACACTGGCGTTGTTCTGTGCTATGTACATCAAGGGATGAGCACTGAGGTTCTTCACTGTGATTCTTAGTATTGCTCCTGTGTTGCAGTTCTGGTGTCTGTTCTAGACCTGAGCTTAGACAGCAGCATTTCATCATTAAGAGAGATCTAAACTGTAATAATTTCCTGTCTTCATGTGAGCTTGTACATAATAACATATGCATGGCTAGATGTGGTCAGACTGAAAATCCACCTAACGCTGCATCCTGTCTCCAGCAGTAACCAGGGCTCAGTGCTGGGCGATGAGTGTGAGAATGGGATAAGCGTGTAGCAATTCTTCCCTAGAGTTCTCCTCCCAGCTGCTTGGAGCTTGGGACTGAGAGCTTGTTGCGTCAGTTTGGTATTCAGTTTTGGATAGATTTTCTTACATGGTTCTTACCTGCTTGTGTTTGAGCCTGGGTAAGCTTTTGGCCTGCGAGCACTGTGTGGTAAGAAGCTTCATAGCTTGACTGCATGCTGTATGAGGAACCAAGCCCTTCTGTTGGGTACCTGCTATTGCAAGAGGGGAAAATGATGGTTTATTCTATCATGCAGTCCCTCAGACACCTCTTTCCTATTGGAGCCAGATCTTGTGGGTTGTTCTTGTGCTTGTGTCGAAGCCAAGAAGCAAGTATCTGAGAATGCAGCCCTAAAGTCACACTTGATTACAACTGACCAAAGGGTTCAAAAGTTGCTCTGCAGTCAGGGAAACAGAAATGTCTTTGGAAGGTAAGCATGTGCAGGCAGAATTGTAAAAGCCTGACATGCTTAAGTAAGTTGGTCAAAATGTCTGCACTTGATTCAAAGACTAATAGCTTAAGAATGCTTACTCTCTTAAAATTCTGGTTTGGCTAATCATTTTTAATTTCTTTTTAATTCCAGAATTTCTGAATCCTCTTGAGAAGCATGAAAACAAAGAACTACTTTTTAAATATCTTTCAGAACAGTTGACACATTCCAAGGAAAAGCTGCAAAGTGAAAGAATTTACATTCTCTGGGATTTTTAAACACATATAAAATGAAAACAGTTTAAAATTTAGCCTTCAAAATGAATGCTGGCAAGTCAGGTGACAAAGCAAAGAATGGCTTCAAGTCTTCCTTACTTAAAAGGGATGAAAATGGAAATAACTACGCCTGTGACAGAGGTATACCGTCCTCAAAAAATTGCACCACCAAGATACACAGTAATTCAACTGACCAAAATATAGTGACTGAGAATGAAGATGATGCTGTTCTTGAAAATAAGAGTGACTTCAGATGTATTCGTTTAAAACAGCAGTGTATTGAAGCACTTCATCTGCAAGAGACACCTGGTAAATACAACTGCACAGGAGCTCAACTGGGAGATGCAGATGCTGCATGCAAGTCTTCTGTGAATGAACAGACTTTTGTATATCCTTTGAACTGTGACTTGAAAGAAACAACAGACTTACTGAAAGGTAATGTTGCTATAGCAAAAGTACAAAATCAGAGTATCCAACAATCAGTGCCTTACAGTCAGACTGACTCTAATTGTGTATTACCCCTTCCTCCTTCAGAGCAGGACATGCAGTCCCTGATAAACGACAGAGCATCCTGCCAGCTGACCACATTGAGTGTTACTGGTGTTATAGGTCAAACTCTGGACACTGATCAAAATGATGACAAGCATCTGAGGGAAACACTAATCTCTTCTGAAATATGTATGAGAGAGAAATTTGGAGGAACCAGCTCAGAAAGAACACCTAATTTCTCCTCTGCAGTACTGGCTTCAGAAAGCCCAGATGCCTGTTCAGGACTTGAAGTATATCATCCTGCCTCTGTAGGTGTCGAACACTGTCTAAAAAGCACAAACAAGACTGCTAAAGAATCCCAGGAAGTGGAAGCACAGCCTGTAAAACTAGCTGCTGCATGTATAGATCCTTCTAGGCGAGATCTATTATCACCATACGTCAATATTAATGAAGATGACCAAGTGAAATCCTTGCAGGATACCCCTGACCATGATGAAGCTCGGAATTCCAATGCTGAAACATGCATGGGTAGTCCTGCAAATAATGTGCGCCTTCTTCCAGCAGATAAAATGGGTGGAGAACAAGTATCAGAAGGAACTAGTGAACCCTTAACCAAAGAACAAAGTACCTCTGGCAATGCTGTTCTTCAGGATATGTGTGACGTCTCTTTCAAATCTTGTAGTGTACCAAAATTAAAGAGGAGTGTTATGCCTGACCTGCAATGCGAAGCAACTTTTGTGGTGTTTAGTCCTCTGGCTGGTGAAAGCGATTCTGCTCTGTGTACTTCAACCCCTATAGAACGATCAAAAAATACAACTTTTTCTGTTTCAGCTTTGGCAGAACTTGGAGACAAGTCTCCTAAACTAAGACCAAACGAGGCATTTGTAGGAGAGCGTAGTAGAAGACCTGTACTTAAAGCTGGTTCAGGTCAAACTGCAGGAAAACCAGTGGGCAGGTCTCCTGTTGGGTCAACAATAACCAAAGCGAAGAAATCAGAGATTGTTAGTTTTCCCAGACCTAATTTCAAAAATGTTAAGCCAAAGGTTATGTCTAGACCTGTGCTGCAGTCAAGAGACAGTGCAGCACTAAAGAAATCTCCCCAGTCCTCCCAGTTATCAGCCGTCTCCTCATCTCCATTGGTTGCTTCCCTGAGGCAATTGTCCCCCTCTGTAAAAGTGCTGAAAAAGAGAATAGATCTAACTAAAGATACTAATGTGGAATTGCCAGTGAATAAGCCCCATAAGCTACATCTTAACAAACACCTCCTCACTAGCCAAGTCGTACATGCCACAACACATCCCAGAAACTCTTCCCACAGGACTTCAAAGACGCCTGTCTTAAAGCAGAATCCGGAAGACGTTGGCAAAGCAAGCTCTACCCAGTCATCATGCTCCTCTGTTTCTGCCGCACTTCCAATGTGTGTGGAGGACTCAAAAGAGATACTCAATGATAAAATGGAAAGTTCAAATTCTTTAGTGCAGCCCTGTTCTCAAGACATCTACCCGACCGGAGGTGTGAAAGAGCAAAGCGGCAATATGGGAGTTCTTCTAGAAGCAGCCGTGTTAAAAGATGTGGCAAATGAAACATTTGACCTGCACTCCGTTCCAGTGGTAAGTTTTTCTTCTTTACATATTTAATTAAATGTTTTGTACTTTTTGGTAAAGGCAATTCTGCATTGCATAGTGCTGAATGGAAATTGGGGAATGGGTTTTGGGTCTCCAAATGTAACCAGTGTCTCCCTAATAAAGGGAGTGAAGAAATACCATTTTGCAAACTGATTGCACTTGACCTCAAGTGTGATTTAGTGTGTTCAGCTTTCATCTTATTTCATGGTACAAATTTTTGGGGGCATAAAATCTTCTTAAGACCTTGCAGTTGGTAAGACTTCTAATAAAAACAAGCAAGTCTTAATTTAGTCAGACTGCTAAAATTGCATAGCATTACTTGGTGAGGTTTTTCTAAATAGAGCTTCTGTGGTTTTTATCAAGATAATTCTAGTGGTGCTGTAACTTTAAATAGACATTAAAGATAAATTGCTGTTTTCAGTATTTTCTTTCAAAATGTGCTTTAGAACTAATTTATTCTTTTTACACTTTTGTATACATTTTATATGTTTTTATGCTTTTAATAATGTAATAACAGAAATGTTGTGCATATATTGACAGTAACATTGTCACACAAAACCCAAAGACCAGCAAGTTGGTTAATCATTTTATTTTTAACATCTTAATTTAACCGACTACTTGGAATAATTTGGGAGTTTGTTTATTTGAAGTAGAACCTGGACTCATTAGAATAGTTAAGAGTAGCCAGGAAATTTCTCATGCAGAGGGCATATACCTGGTTTTGGGCAGTCAGCCAGCTGGAAGGTGCAAACTTCCTGGCCGGGAGGTATGCGTGTGCTGGTTGGTTGGGAAATATTTTTGGATGAGTCAGTTGCCTGTCAGGAGAAACGTGCTGCTTTCAAATACTCCGAGAGAAGGTTAGAAAAGAGAACGATGGGAAAGGAGGTAAGAGCTTCAGGGTTGGGTCGGCCAGGGCTCAGGTAGGGACACAGAGTTAGTCTTGCTGCTATATGGATTCCATCCCGTTGTTCGCTTTTGGGTTCAAGAGCATGTGTTAAATTGGTGAAGTGGAGGCGGCAGCTGTTACCACTTGGTGCTGTCTGAATTTTTGTCAGGTTTTACTGATTTGCCAGAAAAACTCCAATAAAGTTTAGTATGTGGAGAAAACTACTTCAGGTACAGCAGAGGCAGCTATCTATTTTTGAAACATTATGGAAAAAAATATTAATATTCTTTATTATATTAAAGAATTTATCTTACAAAGCTAAATGAACATGAAAGCAACGTTGTCTATTTTAATTCTAAAGTCTTTCAGAGCTTGGATTCTACTTCACTCCTTTTGATGCTGAGAGTTGCAGAGAATGCTTTTAATTGACCCTGATGCCAAGATGGGAATTTTTATGATATGGGTTGTTCTGCTGGTACCTGGAAAATCAATACAGCAAATTCTTTGAAATGTGCAGTAGACTAATCACCTGGACTAAATTTAATAAGTGGTCTTCTGAAAAGTACAGATTAACATCTGAAAGTTAAGATGAGGATTGGAGTCAGAAGTGGAAAGTGCATTAATATGACCAAATCTCTGCATATTGTCTTGAGCCATAGAAGGGCATACAAAGAGCTGTACATTCTTATGACATTACCTTTACGGGATGAACTTTATGCCATGAGTGGTCGTGAGCTAGTGCCTACAGAAACTGGAGCAAGAATTCTGTATGAAAAGTAGATGAGTGCTACATATAAAGCAGTTACTTTAAACATGTCCTGGGTTCACTCCTGAATTTATGTTTTGTTTACAGCAACTGAATGTGAAAGTTTTTAACCTGTTTCTGTGTTGTGACATAACACCCAGATCAGGGAAACCTCTTGTAGGGGCTATGGCATTTCAGGGAGTACAGGACAACTAACTTGTCAGTGCATCAAGTTGTGCAGTTACTTGATAAATAATCTTGAGATTAGTTGTAGTCATGTAATTGAACGGCTTAATTAGACTTTAGGGAGGAAGAGGAGGAAATTCTGATGTAAAATTACCTCTGTAACCTCTTTAGTATATTTATCATTGACAGTGATTAGCCTCAAACAAATGGTTTTGTCTTACTGAAGGCCATTCAGGAGATGACTCTTGAGGTTCTGAACTGCAGATGAGAACAATGTGACAGGAAAGATCTAAGCTTATCCCATACAGGTGTGGTCAGTATTTAATTTCAGATACTGGAAAGGGAGATGTTCAGCTTCTCACAGTGGTAGTAAGTTTTTTGTCGTTAGCTTGTTTGTTTTTGAAAAACAGATGCCTTCTGTGAAAGATGGAACTACACAAGGGAAGAACATACCGAAGAAAGGCCCAAGCACACTACAAAGCACGTCGGCTCCCAAAGTTAAAACGGTGCCATCCGTGTTGCCCTTGAAGAGAGGATGTGAAAATAAAACTATCAGCACAACTAAAGCACCTTCTGACAAAGGAGCTGTTGTGTCATCTAGCTGTGGTAAGAGAATTTTTCACTGGTATGCTACAACTTAACCAGTTCCTTAGAATTAAGATATCATACTTAATGTATTTTGTGACAGAACTTTTAGGATGGTACAGAGCTATATTTTTGGTGCTAAATATGATTTTGTCTAGATAGCACATTGCTAGTACTGGGAGGAGGAAGAAAAAGGTGGGTTACACCCCATCATTGTAAAATCTCATCTTGTAAAGAATGTGTTTAGGAGGGTATGGTGCTATTAGAAGAAACAATATTTAAATACTGTTATTTATAGTTTGGTTATATAACAGTACTTTTTGGAGTTACAAGCAAAATCATTCAAAACATGTAAAAGCAAAGAGGAGAAAATACAGAGCTCAGGTACGAAGCGTTTATGATAAGCAACTGTATGCTATCCCAGTGGGAATGAGCTCTTATTTCAGGACATAACATATTTTGTTCAACCTAATTTTAGTACAGGCCTATACTTTCTAGAAACGGGAGAACATAGTTGAAGGAGAGACTAGTGCTTAAGCTGCTAATTAAGTTCAGCCTGATTAGTACCAAGGACTGGGAGAATCTTGCATCTAGTCTGTAGGCTGCTGTTCAAACGTGGTGACTGGAAGCTACATTCTGTCATACTGTAGACATTCAGAAATGCTTCTGTAGATTATGTGCTTTTTTTAACCAAGTGTGGCAATGTAGCTAATTGCAAAGGTAGCCTGGCTATAAATGACTATGTTACAATACACTGTAATTTGGACAGTGTGCGCACCCAGCTATATCCAGTAAAACCTGTTCTTTTTTTTTTTTTTTACCCCACGCAATCTAAGATTATAAAACACTCCAAAATACTCCTCTTAATTATATTCAGGTGGTGAAGTGTAATAAAATCTTTATCTGTAGGCCTTTATGGCATGTATCCTCAAAGAAAGTGGAGATAGGCTATTCTCTGACTTGAGCCTTGCTAATGTGAGGACTTGCTCGGTGAACTAGTTAGCTACCTGTAAGCCACCAGTTTCTTGGAAGACTCCTCACATCTCTAAATACCAATTTAGAGCTTTCCTATCTGTAATTCTCTTTAAAAAAAACCCTGAGATGAATATAGATACATATTTAATTTTAGATTATTAATCCAGAGTAGATTTATGACACCATCACTATAAATATAAGCGTGGCTGAGTTACAGAACTAACTTCTCTTCATAAAAAATATTTAATAAAATATCAGATACACTTTCAGAAGATGCGGAAGTTATTTGCTGTTGAAAATAAAACTTTTACTCCCCAAGCTTGTTTAGCTGAACTTGTCAATCCTTCACTTGTTATATCTTGAAATTAGGGTGGTCAGTAGAATACCTTCCAAATTTTCCCTGTTGAAAAAAATGCTACTTAAGGTAAAAACATGGAGCAGCACCTTAACATTTCAGACTTGTGCTATGATCTGACAAGACTGGAACTTTAGTGCAGCATGTAAGAATTTTTTTCCTCCACGCTCTATCCCCAGTCCTGCTACCAACGCCCACCCTTCCTAGCACCCTTCACTTTGCAGCACTAAAACACTGCATATGCTAAGTTCGCTTCCCTGTCCCTTGCCAAGGGAATTCTAAACATGGTTCTTTGCTCCCTAGTAAACGTGCTACAGATGCAAATCAGAGGATCGGACTATGGGATGGGGAAAGGTAGGAATTACTTGGTTTTGCTACCAAAGCCCTGCTGTATTGCATTACCTATCTATCGCTGCTTACTCCATCTGTTTTTAAAGCAGCAGTTTGTAAACCAAAGCCAGTTACCTGTATTAGCTAAAGCCTTACTCTAGGGAAAAACTTTTTCTTCCAGTTAAGTCATTTGAATGTTTTGTTTTAAACTTGTGCCTTGATATAAATCCGACAGCACAGATAAATAACTTGGTAGCTGTACAGACAGACCAGCCAAATCCAGGATGGAAAGGGCTTCTGAAGGTCACCTAGTCCAGCCCCCCCGCCTGTAACTGGGTCACCACTGAAGTCAGACTAGTTTGTTCAGGCGTTTGTCAAGCTGAGTCTTAAAACTGTCCAAATCCTAACGACCTTGGTGCTTCCTGAGGTGCTAATTCCTAACTACTTGCTGGCTGTACTTGGATCATTGGGCAGGAAGACAAATCAATGTACTAAGTCCATTAAATACTCTGAGCAAGAGAAGTGATGGTGTAGCTCTGTGTGATCCCTCACATTTATGTTGAGGGGGAGAAGCATTCCATCTGTCCTAAATATATTAGTGTGTGTACTATTCCCAGAATAATCAAGAGCTTGTGAGTGGTGGATTGTATCATGCACTGTGTTTTCTAGTGGGAAGCAGGAAACTCCCATACAACCAAGAAGTAAATGAAAAAATGCCCTGTTTAAAATGCCAATTATAAGATCCTCGTGTCTTGGCAGGAGTTGAGATTTTAGTAAATTTTCACTTGTAAATGTAAACCTTCAGTTTTCATTAGTAACATGCTAACCCAGTAGGAACCATGTCTTCTAAGGAAACTCCCTGGTCCTTTCCTGAACAGGGGACATCAGGAGAGGAAGATTTCTATCTCAAGTGTTACGTTTTTGTGAGGTTATTAAACTACTTTAAGCTAGAATTAACTTTTTATTTATTTCAAAATTGTTGCTGATGACTGTTGACCAGTATTTGGTGTATCTTGGCATGAATAAGAAGCTGGCTCTCTAAAAAGCGAGCCCAGCTTGATTCAGTTTACCAGTGTGGTTTGTGAAATGATGAAGCCCCATTTTTTGCAGCAAACCTAGAAATTAGGTGACTGTTGCAAAGTAGTCGCCTCAAAATTACTTCTGTAACTATTTGTCTCTATTTCGTCATAAGAGAGAATGGCCTGCAATCACATACTCATTCTCAAAAAAAAATAATTCTTAAATTCTCCACAGCTATTTCTTCCATGGTGGTTTGCATAGATTTCTGTAGTACTGGATCACAGGCAGTATGCTTTTTGCTATGTTAGTTTTCTGTCAGAGAAAACGTTTATTAGAATTGAAGGCATGGAATGAGGTGTTTGAGTTACCTGTTTTTTTACTGGAAGGCATGTGTATTTTTTGAGCCCTGGTTCAGGACTTTGAACCAGTCCCAAACTGAAAGCAACTACTGTTTTCGTTGCCAGCAAACACACACTGCCTTCTAATTGGGTGTACGTAACCACTGTGGAGGAATAATAGCCTGCTAATAGCTGAGGGATGGTTTGGAAAGAGTCATGTTTTTCCCTCACTTAGAGGGAGGGTGAAAGGGGACTGGAGAAGCCAAGGAGCTTTGGTGGACCCATCGAAGATCACTCCGAGTCCTACTACCAGCCCCAGAAGCCACGTTACCACCCATGCACTTGGATGGAAGCACTGTGACAGTTTGAGCCACAGGAAATTTTGATTTGTGTTTGAACAGCGTATAGCAGGGTTATAAATAATTTGTTTAGATCTAAAAATGTAAATGCCCACCACTGCCTTTTATTTAACTCTCATTGCTGACTACAACCTACCTGTAAGTAGGTGAAGGAATGGAGCTTTACCCACAAGTAATATTTGTGGTATGCTTATACTTCACCTATACCTCTGCCTTAAAATTATACCATTGCTTTAAATTGTTTCTCACTATATGAAACTTCACGTTGTTGTTGAGGTCTTAGCTACGAGAGCTCTGCCAAGCCTTATATGTAATTGAAAATCGTCAAAAAAATTGTTCCTCTGCTTAGTGTTAAAGACTTCCAGAAATTAACAGAAGCCAAGAAAATCATGTTTGTAACCAAAATGTCTTTGGCTGTCTGACAGTATTTTTCTGATGTTTTGTGTACTGTATTCTCTCTGATACAAGTCACTGATACCTGGCTAGCAGAGTTATGACCCTGTGCTTCATTACTAATCGAGTAGTACTCTTTCTCTTGCTATTTTTTAAATGGTATTTAACTAGAGTAATGGAAGCTTGGGTAGAGAGAAGCTTGATAGTCTGAATTCTGTGTTTCCTTCAAGATGGTTTTGGACAAGTGAGACCTTTTCATAACAAAAAGTTTATTATACTAAAGGATTTTTTGAGTGTTCTGCAATTAACTGAAGCATGGGAAAAGTAATTCCTCATATGCTATAGGAAATATGTTTAAGTTGCGTAAGACCACAGCAAGTTTAGTGATAACTTTGAAATTCTGATTTGCCTGTTAGTTTGTAATAGCTAAATTCCTTTTATTGAATTTTGGCCTCATCTTATGCTTAAATTTGCAATTCAGAGAAGCTTCCAAAACTAAAACCAGAACAGGCCATGACAGATTAAGAGCGTTGTTGCTGTTCATTGCACAAAGAATGGCCTTTCAGATGGGAAACTGAAACCAAATGATTTCAATGGGTTTTCATACAGCTGGAAACATGTATAAACTTGGTAATTCAGGACTTCCTGGTATAGCCTTTCACAATCCTAGTAAAGCAGAACCAAAACAATGTAGTTCTAGTAAGCCTTCCCACAATCCTTGAGTCTCTGTTCTGACACTGGACCAGGAGCTAAACCAAACTGCAAATCACTTCTTAGCATGTATCAATTCTGCTATCTACAGCTCATCTTGAGTGCCCTCACACACCACATGCAGGATAACCAGGAGATCGGGCTCGGACAGCGCTGGTTCATGAAAGGCAGGTTCTGCTTGACCAACCTGATCTCCCTCTATATGACCAGGTGACCTGCCTAGAGGATATGGGGAAGGCTGTGGATGTTGTCTTACCTGGACTTCAGTAAAGCCTTTGATACAGTCTCCCATAGCAGTTTTTGCTAGAGAAGCTGGTGGCTCATGGCTTAGACAGGCCTGCTCTTCACTGGATTGAAACTGGCTTGGTGGCTGAGCCTAGGGAGTGGTGGTGAGTGGATTTAAATCCAGTTGACAGCTGTTCACAGGTGGTGGTCCCCAGGGATCAGTTTGTGAGCAAGTCCTGTTGAGAATTTTTATCAATGATCTGGATGAGGGTATTGAGTGCACCCTCAGAATTTGCAGATCTGGATGACGAGTTA